TTTTCGAAGACGCGCAGTTTTTTGTTAAAGGACAAGCGGAAAGTGAAGAAATGGAAATTGTTTTAAACACAAGAGGCGAACGTTACTCGTGGCTCTCTTAGTATTGAAAGTCAATTGTTGCTTTTTGCGGGGTGGGCGTTATTATTATAATATATCAAAACAGTCAGTTCGGCCGGTATCGAAGCTTTTTGTTAGATAGTCAATTCTGTCAGTCATAAAGTTTTGTAAAAGAAAATCTAGTCGAGTTAAGCTCAAACCCGTTAAAAGGAGTTTTCTTCGAAATTCCAAAGTATCTTCATTTGGATGATAAGGATTATTTTCACGTTAAGGTAATTAAGATTTTTTTAATTATTACCAACGATCGCTTGATGCGTGGTATTTGTTTTACTGGCCCTGAGGGCCATTCTTCCTTCCACCTTATTTGATTGTTCTGTGTCGAATAAATTTTGTTTTATCTATAAATAAGCTATTGTGTGTTTAATCGAGCCCAAATTACGACCCAGAAGAGTTCTCATGTTAAAGTTTTCTCAGAATTACGTTAGGTGTTACTTGGAAATGTGTTATGTATTTGTAATGACTTTTCAAAGCGGTTAGTACTGCTGAATTTTTCAAATTAATATCATTTACGTCAGTATCGAGATTTTCGCCGTGGCAGAAGCTGGACGTGCCATAAAAAATTATATTTTTTCCTTTAATGGTGTTGTTAAGTATCCGAGTTAAATTCCGCTAGCTGGACAGGTAGTTTTTGGGGGACTTAGTAGCCGTTTGCCATTGCACATAGCAATATATTTTATGGAAATTTGTTTCAGGTCAACATTTTCAGTTTTTAAAATGTGAAAACCTAATTTTTTCAATGAAAACCTCCTTTGTTGATGGAGTCTACGTATTTAATTATTGGGTGGTTTTGGTTTAACAGGCCAGTAAAATGTATTCTTCCAAGAAATAAGACACAAAAAAAGGTATACGTAAACGAGGGATATTGTTCACAAAGGTTGCTCATATCACCTTGTTACATTATACTAAAATCACTAACATTTTAATATTTTTTTTAAATAATTTGCATTTTTTTCTTAACGGGTTTGTTTCCTTTCAATCCACTGTCTACCGTTGAAACTAGAACAGAAGGGGTTTTTGCGCCATCTTGCATGTTATTCGCGGATCAATCAAGGTCAATTAAATTGATTCACATTTGCGAGGATGTTTTCGGGGTGACTATTTCTGGTAATTTTGAATAATTCCATGGAATTTAGACTTTGATTTGACCAATTAATTTAATTCGCGCTTTAATTTCGGGGTTTTGCCGATTTAATTGAATTATTTCTTTCAAATCAGCCTCTCATTACGATCAATTAATTAAATCTGTCACTTGATTTAAATAAAATTCTAAGAATCGTGCCAATTTGTGAGTGGGGCTAAGCGAAGGTATGTAGTTTTATTCGCGGATTTAATTTGTTGGGAATTTTGATTTGATCCATCAATTAATTAATTGTCGTCAACTGCGAATGCGGTATCAATGGCTCGTATTTCAAAATGGCGTCGCCTGGAGTGACGTCACAAGCTATCCATCTCTTATTATTGATCCGCTATCTTTATTGCACTCACTATTTAAAATTGGGAACCTACGCTGTAAATGGAACCGTCTAATATGAATTCCACAAATCATTGGGGATTTAAGAGTACATTTAGGTATTGCCATAAATTTTGGAAATACTCAAACCATTGAGTTTGTTTTTGACATATAAGGGGACATCAAGTTCACTCCAAATTTAAGGCACTTTTTTCCCCGTAAAGATGAAAATATTTAAACTGAAACTGACTCATGCATTGAGCCATTTTTACACATTTACAAAAACCTATATCCAGTAGTTTCCTAACAGAATCATCCCGTCTTTTGTACAACTATATATTTTTGTAGATATACTTACTAGAAACGTCCAAATAAAGCAAATGCCAAGTGCGAGTTCTGGTGAAAACCCCACTTCTAGTTTTCCTCTTAGCTAGCTGTAATAGTTGGGGAGATCAATGGCGCCACGTTAGGAATGCGGCTACATACAGCGTGGACAGTTTGTCTTGAACAGATATTTTTTTTAATATCACATTCTTAAAGCCTACACCTTTTTGAATATTAAAAAAAACGTAGAAAATAATGTATGGGGTCACTCGAAAACGAAAGTTAATACCAACAAATCAACAGTTAATGTAGAAGTTTTAAAACAACGAATTCGGCGGGAGAAACAGGATATCACTTCAGAGGCAAAAGGTTTGGTCAAGCATGAATTTGTTTGGAGACTGGGCTATTGTCAAACGACCAATGGGGAACAATTGGAACACTTGATTTTTTTACAATTTTTTCTTTAGTTTTTATTTGTAGTAATAGAAAATTTTTTATTTACATTGTGTTTTTTTAGCAGCTAAATTAAATACAGACGCACGCCACTGTTCATGGTTTTTAAATTCATAGATTTCTTGCAATTTTTTTAAACATTTGACACAATAAATTGCTTTGACAAATAACAAAAGATGAACGCAACTGTTTCCTTTGAGTTCTTCTGTTAAATTTGATTATGTAATATAGTAAGTTTATTATGATGCTATATCCAAAAAAGTGTACCATTTAATAATACGCAGTAAAAAAAGTGGTTGCTTATAAAAAGAATATACCGTCCTTGACCATGGAGAAGTACGCCACTGACGACAAATGTATAGTACGTAGATTCGTAAAAAACATTTTATAATACTGGATACCACAAAAAACTTCTTTGCAAAAATTGTAGTTTTGAAGATATACCTATTTAGTGTTCCAGACAAAATTTCCACCCTGTATATTACCGCTAAGGACAAAATCGTACCTACTGCCAGCGGAATTTGTTTCTCGTCGGGGCCCTGTAACGCTATAGCTTGAGTTCACAGTTTTTAGAAGTTTTAGATCACATTTCTCGTGGTAGCGTCTACAAGTACCCCAATAGACACCCCCGGCTAATATTAATAGCTTTATTACAAATCTGTAAAACTGGCTGGTTGTAGAGTTTAGAGGACATTTTCTTTAAATGAAAATGTTGTTAACTCAACGTCCGCTTAAAATTGACATGTGTCCTATACATTAATTTCAATTCAATCAATTGGAAAAGTGAATGGCCTTCTTCCTCCAGTGTTTAGCACAAGTTGGTTCAAAACAGAACCAAACCTCGAAATTGTTCCTCGCTCTAGAAGTTTGAATGAAAAAGTTGAGATACACGATCATATTACAAAGAAAAAACACATTGGAATTCACGTGTTCACGTTGATCGGCTTCTTCACACTTCAAAAAGAATTTATAATCCTGATTGACGCTAAACTGACGAGACACGTTTTCGTCTCGTTACCATTGCTTCGAGTACTTCGCGCGAAATTAAACGCAATATGGAAATGTGCGGTTTTCCGCCCGCCGCCGCCGAAAATTACATCGCGCCGAACTTTGATTTGGCATCGGACGTCTTTATAATCCCACTTCCTGCCCGAGTCGACAAGATAAGTGGCTTATCTTAAGTTACCGTGATTAATAACTTGTTTTAATATCATACTGTAATGTCTTTCTGTATTAAACCAGGCGTGTGTGAAGTGGATTCCCAGAGCCATCCGTTACAAAAGCGGTAACGGCGGCGGCGGCACCTAAAAATAAATCTGTACAGCATTTTTTTATCACCATTAATTAACGCCATTGTCGTATTACAAAGAATTTGACCACCTGCGTCTCGAAACTGCCTTGTTGTTTCTTGAGTTGCGGATAACTCAAAAGTTGATTGCAGATGTCGAAATGGCAATACGAAATTCTATTTCTCAAGATTCAAACCGGCTTTTTTCCAATCCGTTACCGTAAATTTTATTGGCCTCATTTCATGCACCTGTATTTATATTGCCGATCATTAAGTCAAATATTTAAACCTGCAATCAAGACAATTTTTTCTTGGTTTGTCTACTATTCCTTTTACCCAATGGAATGTGTGAATAACCATTTGCGAATTATACAAATATCTGGGAAAGTTGCGGCCTTGGGGTATTGGGGATTATCTACAATGAAGATATGGCAGTTCCCGAAATCGGTTGAAATTATTTACAAACCTTAGGAAACCTTTTTGGAAATGTATCTCTACACGAGCTACGCCGTTTTCCAATTTGTCATTCTCTTTCCAAATATGAAAATCTTGGAAATTACTAACAAATTGAGGAAAAGTGCACTAGAAATATCTCAGGAATCTTTCTAGAAACATTCTTGGGCGAATTTTTCTCCAATCCCAAAGTAGATGCGCGTTATGCTTTTTCCTCAAGCGAGAAAAAAAAATCGCGAAGATTTTTATTATGAAGACCACAGAGCGTAGATTGCTTGCAGTGATTTTTGTTATCGGCTTATGCGATGGATCGGGTTATTGTTTGTGTTTGTGTGGTTTACCTTTGCAGTGGCAATTTACTGAACTCGTGGGGTCCACAATCCCACTGTGATAATTTGCGGCTATCACCAAAAAAATAATGTACTTTACATTGATTTGTAGAACTTTGCGGCGTCTAACCAAAATAAAACAAATAGGTAGCGTAATAACAATTTACGACATTTAATTAACAAGAAATATATACATTGAGGTGAACAAAAAGGTGCTTACTGTTCAGCAGTTCGAAACCGACTCTGCTTCATTTAGGGATACTTGTCCCTGGAATCTTAAAACTACCGTTAGGCCTTGTCGAAATACCAAGAAGGTCTCTTCTAAATAAAAATACTAGGAAATTCTCAACAACTAAAAGGTCTTTTGTGAAAATACTAAGAAATTCTCAACATGCCCCCGGCCTTGAAAGAAGGCTTTCAATAATATACTGCATTTACTTAACCTAACAATATAACAATGAAAACTGAATACAAATTGAATCTAGAGTGTACATCATGGTTTCTTAACAACTAACAATTTTCAAGAACAAGAAAAAACTATCATCACTGCACAAATAATTAATCATTTGCACTTCATTATAATTAACTATACGATTGGCAGAGGACAAATTTTTGCAAAAGAACGTTTCACCACTCCATTTATAGTTTTCACAGATGCAACTCGCGCTACTCCGTCTGCACCGGGATGAACAGCTACAACAAGACCCAGCTTCCAATGTAGAGGTGGCTGGTTATCTTCTTTCAAGAGCACCAAGGTGCCATTTTTGAGGTCGGACAGATGAGATCGCCATTTCGTGCGCTGCTGTAGCTCGCTTACATATTCTTTACTCCATCTCTTCCACAGGCGTTGATGAAGTTGTTGAACTAGCTCAAATGCTTTGAGACGTGGAATCGGTATACTGCTGACGTCTGGATCTGGCAGTGAGGTCAGTGGTCTTCCAATCAAAAAATGTGCCGGCGTGAGGGGTTGGAAGTCATTGGGATCGCTTGATAAGGGAGAAAGCGGACGGGAGTTGATAGTCGCTTCAATTTGAGATAGCAAAGTACTAAATTCTTCATACGTGAGTAAGGATGTACCTAATACTCTCCTTAAGTGTGATTTTACGGATTTTATACCGGCCTCCCACAGGCCTCCAAAATGAGGACTATGGGCAGGAATAAAGTGCCATGTGGTGCCTTCAACAGCAAACGTTTTATTGATGTGATCGCCGTTACTCTTTAAAAATAAGCTCAATTCTTTCAGTAGCGAATTGGCTCCAACAAAATTGGTTCCGTTGTCGGAATACACGTGAGACGGTTTTCCTCGGCGGGAAGCAAACCGCCTGAATGTCATTATGAAGGACTCCGATGTTAGATTAGTCACCAGTTCCAAATGAACTGCTTTGGTCACAAAGCAGATGAAAAGGCATAAATAGCTCTTAGAGGTTTTGGCACCTCGGCCCTTGTGGTTTTTAATGAGGAAAGGACCTCCATAATCTACGCCAACGGTGGAGAATGGAGGTGCAGCTTGTACACGAGAAGGAGGTAAATCGGCCATGATGGGTTTTACCAGTTTGGGAGAGAATCTGAAACACTTCATGCATTTGTGTACCGTCTGCTTAGTTAGACTTCTTCCAGAGATAATCCAAAATTGGTTCCTAAGGGAATACAGAAGAAGCTGTGGGCCAGCGTGTAACAATCTCAAGTGCTCTCGGAGAGTGAGTAGTTTGGCCAATCGATGTTTTCCCGAGAGTACAATAGGGTGAATCTTATCAAATTGATAATTTGATTTGCGAAGTCTGCCACCAACGCGCAGGATACCTTCTGAATCCAAAAATGGATTCAGACTTATTATAGAGGAGGACCGCTTCAGGGGGCGATTTCGTCGTAGCTGATTCAGATCTTCACCAAAGGATTCGATCTGAGATATTTTTATCAGGCATAAAAGAGCGGCTCGAATTTCGAGTACTGTTAGAGGGCCAGTGATGCGATTTTTCATGACCACGCGACAATTATTAATAAATCGCAACAGAAATGCAACAACTCTTTCCAATCGAGATATATCGGAAAATTTGTCGATTAGATTAAATGATGTTGTAGTAATAAGCGAGTGAGTTTGAAGCTTGAACTCAGGTAGGTGTGGGAGTGAATCAGGTGGTTTTGGCCATGATGATTCACAGCTTGCGAGCCAGTCGGGCCCATTCCACCATAATTGAGTGGACTTTAAAGATTTTGGCGTGACTCCCCTGGATAGCAAGTCAGCAGGATTGCATTTGGTGGGAACGTGTCTCCAGATTGCGGAAGAAGTACGCTCCTGTATATCAGCGACTCGATTGCATATAAAGGTTTTCAATAGATTAGGGCTGGTTTTTACCCATCCTAACACTATTGTAGAATCTGACCAAAGGTACGTGGCGGATACTCTCATATTTAGCGAATTAATTACCTGTTCAACAAGTTTAGCTAACAGGACAGCGCTGAGTTCTAGTTTGGGAATGGTAAGGGGCTTTAGGGGCGCCACTTTCGATTTGGCACATAACAAACTTATATGAATTTTATTACTTTGATCAACAGATCTGAGGTAGATGCACGCGCCATATGCGCTGATAGAGGCATCACAGAATCCATGCAGTTGAATGTTAGTTGATCGAACGCATATGGAGTGCCTGGGTATTTGGAGTTCACTAAGCTCTGTTAATTCGCTCCTATAAGAGGACCACTTCAATAAAATCGGCTGTGGCACCGGATCATCCCATCCTAATTTCTCCAGCCAAAATTGTTGTAAGAGTATTTTAGCACTAACGGTGCATGGACTGAGAAGGCCAAGCGGGTCAAAAATTTGAGCAATTTGAGAAAGGTTATCTTACTTATGGGAGCTGGTGAGATGGTGAAGGTAAAACTATCGGTTTGAAAATTCCAAATTAGTCCCAGAGTGGTAGTATGATCATGGGATCCCAGTTCCAGTAAGCCTGGATGGATGTCCTCCTCGGGTAAGTGAGCCAGTACCCTTGGATCGTTGGAAATCCACTTACGAATCGGAAAGCAGCCTTCACGAAGGGCATGTGAGACTTTAGAGGCGAGTACTTGGGCTTCAAAAAGATCATCGGCGCCAGTTAAGAGGTCATCGACATAGAAGTCGGACTTGATGATGCTTGACGTTTTGGAATCGAATTTTTCGATGTCTATTCCAATTTGATATAAACATCGGATGGCGAGAAATGAAGCAGATGATGTACCGTACGTAACGGTGTTCAAGTCATAGGACAAAAGCGGCTCAGAGGGAACAGGTCTCCACAAAATGCGTTGCAGGGGTCTCTGATCTGGGTTTACTAGAACTTGTCGGTACATCTTTTCAATATCAGCTGAAATCCCGTAAGTATATTTTCGAAATCTCACCAATATAGAAAAGAGGTCCTGTTGTATGGTTGGGCCAACCATTTGAAAATCATTGATAGACCGTCCCGACGTAGTCGATGAGGAACCATTGAATACCACTCGAAGCTTGGTGGTAAGGCTTGATTCCTTCATCACTCCATGGTGGGGAAGATAATACGAAATGCCTCTAAAGGATGCATTTGAAAGTGACATGTGGCCTAGATTTTGGTATTCCTCCATAAAGGCAGTATAGCGCTCCAAAATGATGGGATTCATTTGAAGACGCCTCTCCAAAGCGAAAAATTGTCTTTGAGCCTTATTGTATGATTCTCCTAGGGTGTCGAGAGGAGCCTTAAAAGGAATGTCGACAATAAATCTTCCGTCTTCATCTCGTGAGACGGTTTTCGTAAAGTGGGTCTCGCATTCCGTCTCCTCAGCTGAATGTACCTTGTCAGAGGGATAGCTTTGTAATTCCCAGAATTTGGCTAACTGTTCAGGAAGATCGTTTAATACACTCAAATTGCATTGCGATTTGGTAGAAGGGATGGCACCTATAGGGCCAGAAATTACCCAACCCAGTTGGGTTTTTTGTAGAATGGGCATGTTTGGGCCTAACCTTATTTGACCCGCGCATAATAAAGAAAAGAATAGAGGCGATCCGATTAACATATCAATATTTCCGGGAGTATTGAATGATGGATCAGACAATTTGATGTGTTTTGGCAGTTTGATGTTGCAGTTAAAGCGGAAACTAGGCATTGTGCCAGTGATCTCTTCAAGAATCAAACAAGAAACGTCCTCTTGAAAACCCGAATATTGAGATCGTAAAATTACACAACATTTTGATCGAATAGTGGATGATAATTTACTTAAACCTGACACCGTAACGTTAGCATTTTCGACGTTCAGCTTCAATTTCTGACAAATGCTAGCGCGAATGAAATTAGACTGCGAACCAGAATCTAATAAAACACGAATTGTGTGTGCCGCTCCAGTAGAATCAAGAATTTGAGCTGAAGCGGTTGGTAGAAGAACTTGAATGGTGTTCGTGCAAAATGCAGCAATACTTTGACTTGGTTCATCGTTATTGCTACTAGAAGGATTGGACTCTATTTTCCGCCCAGTAGGCGCCTCTTGGCTAGCAGGACCAGAGCTTAGGTGCAGCAGGGAATGATGCCGCCCCTTGCAGGTGCGACAGCTGTATTTAGAAGTACACTGAGTTATCATATGACCCTTGTACAGACAATTCAAACATAGTTTTAATTCTTTAACTTTGGCAATTCTTTGTGATGGAGAAAATTTTAGAAAATGCTCACAAGAATTGAGTGTATGGGAGTCTTTGCATAAGATGCATATTGGAGAATTCATCACAAAGGATTTTGACATTTGAGGTTTTCCTTTGGCGTATACTGGCGTAGGGGTAGACTTCGAATCCGATTTGGATTGCAAGCTATCTAGCAAATTTGCAGTGTTTGTTAAGAAAGTTTTGAACTCGTCAAAGTTCGGTATTGCGGTACCAGCATCATTTTGGTTTCTTTCCCATTGGCGTAATGTAGTAGAATCTAGTTTGTGAGACATTATAATATATATGATGGTAGTTTCAAATAATTGGGCGTCGGAGGCTAGCGAGCGTAAAGCGGTGACGTGTTTGAATAATGCATCAGAGATCTTTCTTAATGCGGGAGACGCCTCCTTGACACAGGATTCTAAATCTAGTATAGATCTTAAATGATTGCGTATTAGCATGCGAGGCTGATCATACCTAGCACAGATTGCTTTCCAAGCAACTTGATAGTTGCCGGCGGAAAATTGTAGCGATTTGATTACCTGGCTTGCGTCGCCAGTAAGGCTTGACTTCAAATAGTGTAGTCGTTGAACGTCGTTTAGCTCCTCATTTGAATGAATGAGGCTGTTAAAAATTTCCCTGAACTCTATCCAGTTTTCTAAATCACCACAGAATTTAGGAATTGATATCTTAGGCAGATTAAAAAATGGGTTCTTGTGGGAAGAACTGTTAACGCTTCTCGCATCGGAATTGCACGACGGAGATATTGAAATGCGTTCAACTTTTGCTTTGTTGAGCAGCAATTTCGCGAATGAAGTCGCTTTAAAATAAGCAGATTCAAATTGTGCGTGGTGACATTCGTCGTCGCTCACATCAGAGACCAAATTAATCATTTTACTATGAGTCTCATCGTATTCCTTCATCAAGGGCGTTATAGCCTCCAATCTATCTTGGAGCTCAATTGCATCTTCCTCGGTAACCGTATCGTTATTAAGTTTTGAAATAAATGTTTGAAATCGCGTAAGCTTAGATTTAATTTGACCCCTGGCTTTCTTTAATTCGTCAGCCATAATGAAATAGAACACAATATTTTCACAATACGCTAATTTAAATTTAACTAGAATAGCGGCGACCAACAGGCAATAAAATAATTGTAACACAACGAAATTTAAAACGTAAAATATTAAAGAAAAAGGACCTGATGGAAGCCGGTATGCAGATTTGCTAACAAAAGTTACTGTAAACGAGAAATTTTAAGAACTCTATTGTTACGAAATATTTTCGAAGTACCCGTATTTAAAAATACAAGTTTAGCACTAATGCAATCTCTGAAGTTCGGCGAAATTTACATAAAGGAACTAATGAAAGGAATTTTACCTGGAAGGACCAAGAGGCAACGGCAGCTTGCGGA